ACACCAATAAGAATTGTTTGACGTTTACCCATTTCAAGAGGTAGCACATTATCAAGAACCAATGGTCCTGAAGGAAAAAGTCCAAGCTGCACTGAAGGTATTGGTGAAAAGCAACGCTCCAGAAATTGATGAAATTTCAGTCGAAATGTGTTGACAAATAGATGTAGCACAGGAGATGTTCGCTCATCTAGGCCACAAAATGTAGAAGACGGTCACCTAGTCAAAGAAACCCATATTTGTGTCCATCCCAAAGAAATGTGATCCAACAGAATGCTGGATTCAGAAGCAGATGTGGAATGAGGCATATCATTGTGGATGCCAGTTAGAGCTTGGCTGAAAGCAGCGAATACCAGAAAGATGTTTACTTGTGCTTTATTGAATATACAAAGGCATTCAAGTGTGTGGATCATGACAAACTATGCATAACTGTGCTCATGTGGAACTTGTACACAGATCAAGAGGCAGTAGTTTCAATCTTTCCAATAGGAGGATACTGCATGGTTTCAAATCAGGAAAGGTGTGCGTCAGGATTGTATCCTTCCACCATGCTTACTCAATCTATACGTTGAGAAAATAATATGAGAAGCTGGATTATAGGAAGAAGAATGCAGCATCAGGATTGGAGGGAGGCTCATTAACAACTTGTGATATGCAGATGACACAACCTTCATTGCTAGAGTGAAGTATTTACTGATGAAGATCTAAGACTACAGAATTCAGTATGCATTATGACTCAATATAAAGAATACAAAAATCCTCACAACAGGACCAATACACATGACAATTAATAGATAAAAGATGCAGTTGTCAAGGATTTCATTTCACTTGGATCCACAATCAATGTCCATGGAAACAACAGTCAAGAAATCAATTGACACGCTGCATAGGGCAAATCAGCTGCAAAAGACGTTAAGGAACTAAGGCAAATCTGACCCCAGCCATGGTATTTTCAGTCACTCACATGCGTGTGAAAGCTGGACAATTGAATAAGGAAGACTAGAGAAGAACGAATACATTTGAATTATGCTGTTGGAGAAGAGTACTGAATATACCATGGACTGCCAGATGAACAAACAAATCTGTCTTTAAAGAAGTACAGTGAGAAGGTTCCTTAGATAGAGAGACTATGACTCATGTCCTCTGAACATGTGGTGTCATCACATGCTTTGTAGAATTTTTGTTGCTAAGTGCCATTGAGTTGGTTCTGACTGATAGCGACCCTGCGTAGAGTTTCCAAGGAGCAGCTGGTGAGCCTGAACTGCTGACCTTGCAGTTGACCAAAGGTTCAAATTGACTTTGCAGTCCTACATATTAACCCATAGTGCCACACAAGGACTCCACTGACACCCTACTGTTGTTGTTAAGTGTCGTCAAGTCAAGTAGATCCCGACCCATAGCAACCCTGTATAGGGTTTTCGAGGAGCGGCTAGTGAGCTTGAACCACCAACCCTGCAGTTTAAATTGCTTTGCAGTCTGGCACTTTAACCCATAGCACCACACCAGGACTCCACTGACACCCTAGGACATTTAAATCCACACACTGAGGAGGGAAATCACAGAAGCTGTAGGGTCCCCCTGGTCTATACTATCTCAGACATCGGGAATTTTAACCTCACTGCAGGGTAATGCACTGGACAAGGTTGGCGATTCAAACTCACCAGCAGCTCCTCGGGAACCCTACACAGGGTCACTATGAGTCAGAATTGACTAGATGGCACACAACAACAATGCTGTGAGCAGGGATCCTGCTCAAGATTCCCCTAAATAACTAGCACAGGTTTTCTCTGCCACCACACCATTAACATACAGCTCTGGAGTGGAGGTGGAGGGGGGTCTTGTGCACAACAGGAGACTGAGCAAGATTCCTGACCTTTACCCACCAGTAGTGCGCACGCTCTGCAGTGGTGACAACTGTCATCAGACAATGCCAGTGTCCCCCAGGGACCGAATCTCCTCTAGTTGGGAACACTGACCTAGGCTGAGTTAGTCCTGGTGCTTGGCTCTGTAGGATAAGCACTAGACCACAAGGTGGGTGGTTCAAACCCACCAGACGCTCCACAGAAACCTTATACAGGGTCACTATGAGTCGGAATCCGACTTGATGGCACTTAACAACATAATCAGCCTAGTCTTAGTAACTGGCCTTGGATAATCTAACCGTGACCTCTCTTGTTCCCCACTATCCACAGTTACTCTTTGATACCAAGAAAAATGACTTATTGGAGCCTGTTGTTGTTGTTGTTATGTGCCATCGAGTCGGTTCCGACCCATAGCGACCCTGTATAGGGTTTCCGAGGGTGTAAATCTTTACGGGAGTAGA